ATTCAAACCCGCCACCTTAGGTGTATGTGGCTGGCGCCTTAGCTGCTTGAGCCACAGGCGCCGAGCCAAGCAAGTGGGTTTTGATTGGAGTAGAAAAAGATGATACCCTGAATATACGTAAAGATTTTGCTGTGTGACAAAAGTATTTATTCATTATTATTATTATTATTATTATTTTGAGACAGAGGCTCACTTTGTTGCTCTCAGTAGAGTGCTATGGCATCATAGCTCACAGCAACCTCAAACTCCAGGGCTTAAGTGATTCTCTTGCCACAGCCTCCTGAGGAGCTGGGACTACAGTTCCCCGCCACAACGCCCAGCTAAGTGTGGCAAAAGTAAAGAGATATTCGAGGAACAAGTAATGACAAAAACAATAGCTAGGAGACAAGAAGGGCTAGATCACAGGGGAGTCCAATCTGTGGCCCACAGGCCACATGTGGATAATTTGAGGCCCAGTTTGCTTATCTGTGGCATCAGGTATTGTGAAAATTATGCATGGATCATTTTTTTAGCTCATCAGCTTTTGTTAGTGTTTGTGTATTTAATGTGTGGCCCAACACAATTCTTCTTTCACTGAGGAGCAGAAAAAAAAAAGGTTGGACACCCTTGGCACTAGGACAAGTTTGGAGACCTGTGTGGAATCACAAATAACCAGGGTACATGTTATGGTCAATGACAGATAAAGCTATCAGGCAGAAAGCCTCTGGTTCCCACGACTGGGTAAGATGCCCTATGGCATCATTCCAAGTTGGCACCCACTCTCATTGTGGCATTTTTCTCAGTGAGCTGCAATTAGGTAATCACAATATTGAGTGTTCCCCAGGAGATGAACTCCATGGGGTGAGGCCATGTTTTGGTGATCTCTGTGCTGACACATAGTAGGAATTCAGTGGATATTTGTTGAGAACAAATTCAACTGTGAAGGAGATGATGACTCAAAATAAATGAGTATGAAATGTTAGACATATATTATTGGTGAATCCTTCCAAAGAACAGTTGTAAGTCAGGATTTTAAAATAAATGAGAGAAAGATTCTCAAAAACAGTTTAGTTTGTATACCTGGAATAATTGTGATAGTGTTGCAGAAGCCTCAAAGTTAGGAGTAGAAAGTACAAAGAGTTACGAGTTCCCCCCTGTTTTCTCTCCTCTCTTCCCTCCCTCCCTCTCTCTCTCTCTCTCTCTCTCTCTCACACACACACACACACACACATCCCTATCTGTCCATTTCCTTCCTTCATGATCCTAACAGTAGAGGCCAAATATCCTGTGATGTCATCTGAGTCATGACACCATAAATTTAAAAAGTAATAAAATAATAAAAAGAAAAGGAAAACAAACATAAGATGAGAAAACATAAAGGGACAGAAGAAGAGTTGAAAGAAGCAAATGGTGAGAGATGCTGTAAAGAATGTTTCAGAGAAATTTTCACCCTCTCAGAAAGAGTCAAATAAAATTGAGCAATTTTACCTAATAATCACATGTAAAAATAAAAAAAAAATTGAGCAGTTTGAAGGAAAAACAAAACAATAACTCAGCTTTGGTTCCATGTTTTTCCATTTGATTAGTAATGTCTTACCCTAAGAGTGTAAGTCCTGCCCCCCACACGGTTCCGAGCTTCCAGAACAATCACATTCAGGCCAGAGTCATGCAGAAGTTTGGCTGCTGCCATACCTGGGAGAAAAACAATAAGATATCAAGATCAAATACTTTATGGGGACTCCAGACCAGCTGTTTATGTGAGCCAATGAGAAGAGTTCATATTGGCTCATGCACAGCCTACAGTTAAACACTCAACTTGCAGGTGGATAGTGGTTCACAATAGAGGCCTAGAGCCCAAGTCTGGGAACTGACTTATTTCCAGAAAGAACAAAAGGGATTTGGTAAATGCCTCAAATCTTTTTTTTTTTTTTTTTTTTGAGACAGAGCCTCAAGCTGTCCCCCTGGGTAGAGTGCCATGGCTTCACTGCTCACAGCAACCTCCAACTCCTGGGCTCAAGTGAGTCTCCTGCCTCAGCCTCCCAAGTAGCTGGGACCACAGGCGCCCACCACAACGCCCGGCTATTTTTTGTTGCAGCCATCATTGTTGTTTGGCGGGCCCAGGCTGGATTCGAACCCACCACCTTAGGTGTATGTGGCTGGCACCTTAGCTGCTTGAGCCACAGGCGCTGAGCCAAATGCCTCAAATCTTAAAAACATCTTCAGTCATTATCCAAACATCTATTTTAGTAACTAAGTCAACATGTATGACAACATAAATTAAAACACGAGGCCACAGTCAAGAGCAATGTCTGAGCTGCAGCAAACAGAAGGCTAAATCCAGCTCCTGATTTCGTTCCAAGGGTAATCGATAAAACTGGTAAACTGGCTCAGTGCCTGTAGCTCAAGCGGCTAAGGTGCCAGCCACATACACCAGAGCTGGTAGATTTGAATCCAGCCCAGGCCTGCCAAACAACAATGACAACTACAACCAAAAAATAGCTAGGCATTATGGTGGGTGCCTGTAATCCCAGCTACTTGGGAGGCTGAGGCAGAAGAATCACTTGAGCCCAGGAGTTGGAGGTTGCTGGGAGCTGTGATGCCACAGCACTCTACCCAGGGGTACAGCTTGAGGCTCTGTCTCAAAACAACAAACTGGTAAACTGAGGATGAGTGGGCCTTCAAAGCATGTGCAAGGACCCAGGATTTAATGTTAAGATTAGACTTTGGGAAGTAGACATAAAGTTCCAAAGCCAAGGACATAAAATTTGACCCTTCATGTGTCCTCATTCCCTGATGTGACCCATCACTGAAGAATGAAATGATTCCATCATGTACCCACTTAATTATTGCATCAGTCAAAAATACTTATTGAATGCCTATTATATTTTTACCCCATAAATGTAGCTTTTAAAAAACTTACTGCTTTATTGAAATAAATTTTTTCTTTTTGAGACAGAGTCTCAAGCCATCACCCTGGGTAGAGTGCCATGGCGTCACAGCTCACAGCAACCTTAAACTCCTGGGCTTAAGTGATTCTCTTCCCTCAGCCTCCCAAGCAGCTGGGACTACCAGCACCCACCACAACACCTGGCTATTTTTTGGTTGTAGTTGTCATTGTTATTTGGCAGGCCCAGGCTGGATTCAAACCCACCAGCTCTGGTACATATGACTGGTGCCCTAGCCACTTGAGCTACAGGAGCTGAGCCTATTGAAGTAAATTTACCTATAATACACTTTACCCAGTGTGATGATTAATTTTAGGTGTCCCTTTGATTGGATTGAGGAGTGCCTAGATGGCTGGTGAAAGATTGTTTCTGCATGTGTCTGTGAGGGTGTTTCCAAAGGAGATTGGCATGTAAGCTCTTGGATTCAGAGAGGAAGACTTGCTTTCAAAGTGGGTAGGAGCCATCCAATTGCCTGGGCCTGCCTAAGACAAACAGATGGCAGAAGAGGGATTCTGTGTCCCTTCCTGAGTGGAGAAAGATGCTTGTTCTCTTGCCTTCAAATCTGAAGAACCAGACTTCAGATTCTTTGGCTTTTGGACTCTGAGACTTGTAGCAGTGGCCTCACGGGGATTCTTGGGCTTTCTGCTTTGGACTAGAGGCTGTACCCTCAGTTTCTCTGGTTCTGAAGCTTCTTCTTCTTCTTTTTTTTTTTTTTCGGAGACAGAGTCTTACTATGTTGCCCTTGGTAGAGTGTGTGGTGTCACAGCTCACAGCAACCTCAAACTCTTGGGCTCCACTGATTCTCTTGACTCAGTCTCCCAAGTAGCTGGGACTACAGGCACCTGCCACAATGCCCGGCTATTTTTTTGGTTGTAGTTGTCACTGTTGTTTGGCAGGCCCAGGCTGGGTTCGAATCCGCCAGCTCTGGTGTATGTGGCTGGTGCCCTAGCCGCTGAGCTACAGTCACTAAGCCTAAATAAAAGTTTCTATCTTGACTTTCAAAAATAATAGTTTTGTGACTTTCATATCCCACTACTTCAAAAAAAAGATTCCTATAAAAATTCCAAGTGTTTGAGGTGGTTGCCTATGGCTCAAGGAGTAGGGCGCCGGTCCCATATACTGGATGTGGTAGGTTTGAACTCGGCCCTGGCCAAAAACTGCAACAACAATAACAAAAAAAACCCCAAGTGTTTTAATATATTAATTCAATGAATTTTTACAACAACCCAATGACATAAGGTACTGTTAATATTCCCATTTTATAGCTGAGTGAAGTGAAGCCCAAAGAGGTGTCCAAGGTCACATAAAGAGTAAGTGGCAAAGCCATTTTCACTGCAGCATCTGTATTCACCATCACTATACAACACTGCCTTCCCCGGGCCCTCATGGCCATCTTCACTGATCCCTTCTTCCCAATTTGGTCTACAGGTTGAAATTATATTTAAACAATTAGCTTTCACTTTACTTGGATCAACATATTTTTAAGACACACTTGTATCTTATAGTTTGATAAGAATCCATCTAACATAAAATATGAGCCCACCTTGAAAACCATAATGAAAAGCTAAGGCTTCAGTTACTGTCTATTGGCAGTCTTAAAGAGGAAAGATTTTTTTAGAGAGACTGATTTGACATTTCATTATTTGAGTTAATCTATCTTCTCATTTCTATTCCTAAGGGCAGGACCAAAGCTTCTAGTTGGAGGGAGGGTAATGATTCCAAAGTCCACAGCCCCTAAGTAGTGCTTACAAGCATTACACAACCCTGATTTAGAAACACAGAGCTTAGATTTTTAACTCTAGTTTCTTAATTTCACCTCATAAGGAAAAAAAAAAAGAAACACTTCTATTTAAATTCAAAATTGTAGACAATTCAATGACATTTCTCTTATCAAGCATAAGTTCAACAAATGAAATAACATGTAGTCATAGTAACAGCTATTATCATTGAGTTCAGATAAACAGCCTGAGCATGCTCGGGCTTAAACAAAAGGGTTCAGAAAAAAATACAACATCTTTCACATACACTAGCATTTTATATTCCACAAAAGGTACTTACTGCCTTTTACTAAGTGCAGTTACCCAATAATATCTTATGCTAAACACAAACAGCTATTAAAACAAACCAGAGTCTAATCAAATCACTGGATAGAGTTCTCTATGCTCATGTACCTTAAAAAATCATAAATATAAAATTCCAAAAATGTCTTTAAGTATGGCAATAAGAAAGTATGTTGTTAGAAATACCCCACAATTTAGATTGCTAATGTTCACTATGGATAACCAAATGCTTTGGGGGTGTCAACTGATAAAAATTGGTCTGAAAAATAATTGGTCCAAATATTGGTGGCTTAGGAAAGTTACCACAATTAGGAGGAGGGAATTTTAGAGTACTTCATTAACTGAGGAGTTAGAGACTGGTCAGAAGATGATTAATATTGTAAAGAAGAGGTAACTCTAGGGTGACCAGATTTTAAGATTTGTAAAGTGGGACAACATAGGGGTGGGGAGGGGGGCGGGGCAGGGGACAAGGCAGGGCAGGGTCTGACAACAATGCAAACTTTGATAAGCAGTTCTCGATAATCACTTCTCAACAATTATTTGTTATTATTAC